TTTTCCACTGATAATGTGAACTGGGAAGGCTAAAACCCAGATAATCTTGATCAGCGTAAAATTCTCTATCGAATGATGTATGATTAAGCCAAAAATAAAATAGTGCTATACTTTTGAATTTGGAGCACCTTATTAATATAAAGCCCTGACTCGAGCACATTTTCTGGCATAAGCCCCAAGGTGATTCTTCGTTCCTTTAATTTTTTACAGAAGCTTTTCTAACGCATGCTAAATTCAAGATTTGCACTTTGTTTTCTAGCATTAGTTAGGTTGAGAATTTCTATTTTACATATATATTCAAGCTAATTCATTGATGAGCAAAATCCCATCAGAAGTAAAGGTTACCTTTTATTTGCTAAAAAGAAAAAAGTTTATACTCAGACGGTGTCAAAATTGAATAAAACTTACTATTTTCACTTTCTCTCATTAAATATAAGGAGCTAAATAAAAATAAACAGACTAAAAGATGCACCATAAAATTCCCTACAAAACCATATATTCGGTTTGTTGGTCTCTTGTAAGTTTCAAGTATCGTAGGGTCCCTTACCAAGTATCAACAACTGTCGATTTAAATAAGACGTTGTGAACAATAATTCATTTAAACGATCGAAATTATAGCTGTTTAGGAATTCTATCGTAAGTTTAATATAAAAATTATATATGTTACCAAAGCAGGGCAGCGATACTGGTGTGTGCAGGGTATCAAGCCAATTTTTGAATGAGGTTTTGTAAGCATTTGATACTTGTTTCATGAATATCTAACTCTTGTTAGGATATTATCCACCTTAATTTTAATGGAATTTCATGTATCATTTTTTTATTCAACTCATAAGAGTACAGTTCATATTGCCAAGTACAGCCTACTCTCTCAATTTTTTTCATAAATTACCCACAATTAATAAGTATATTAAAAATACTGGGTGAATTCACTACCATAATATGTGTAAAATTACATCAAAATATTTAAGATCCAGAGCCTGCTGATCTTGAGCTATTGACATGCAATTTTCGCATATGTTGTAGGTAATGACATGATGAATACCTTTTACTGGGAGAGCATGTCAGAAATCTACTTCCGAAAAGCACCCGAAATTTGTTTCAGGAAGTTTCATGTATCTGAATGGACCGGCTAGAATTAATCCGCGCAAAATAGCTTAGCCGCCGGAATTACTCCATATGTCAGAATTCGGGCCAGTTTGGAGATCCCTGTCTCCTTCTGAATACTAGTCGAAAACGGAGAAGAATTTTCAGGAGATTTTTACATCAGCGGATAGAGAACTGTTAGTTCTATCTTCATGTTCAATAGCATCCTTATCCGATTAAAAGCGGCTTAGAAATACGCAAAATACTAAGAAAGTTTGCGCGAGGGGTCGAAATTACCCCATATGACTCTAGATAGAATCACCTACAAGTTCAAGAACATATTATTACTCACATTTTGCAAAAGAAGGTTTCTATAACCCCGAAAATTCAGAACTCTCCTCTTATTCTGATTTTTGACCAAGTGCCATGGGACAATTTAATTTTTTGTTAAATTTAGGCTGGTGCGCCACTTGTTGTCCTTGTTCAATTACAATATCCCGTTCAACTTCATCCTGACATGGTGCATGTTCATTCAGTGTTGAATACGACGGTGTTGCCTGACGTGCTGTCAAATACGACGGTAGTGACCGAAGTACTCTCAAAGACGACGGTACTGAGTGAAGTGCACGTTAACGTGTTAAATACGACGATGCTGTGGACTAAGTTGGATCTGTTGTTAAATCAGACGGCGTCGACTGAATGGATGGCGTTGCCGTGTTTAACTGTTTATTCTGATGAATTTTCTTTTTCAATTTGACAAGACATTGTCCCACGATTGATATCTGCCAAAATTCTGACAAATGAACACTACAGAAATAAGTATAAAACAAAAATGATAGTACTACTGGAACAAGTCCAATTACGGTGAACGCAAGTTGTAGATATATCACAATGAGCAGCTTTTTCACATGTCATAATTCCATGTAAAATTATCAATGGTAAAGAAAAACCCATGAGTATTTTCTAAAAAGAAAACGCGGTCTCCCGTAACGCCTAGTTTCTCCCGGTTCTAAACTCAACCGCGGTCCATCGAATTATTACGTGCGAAAAAATAGCGAGAAATGAACCCGATAATTTAGATTTGTTAAATATATAAAAAAATGATCAGTTTAAGAGCATTCTTTTAAAATCAATTTTAGAAGCGCGTATATATATAATCGTGATTTAAATTAAACATCGTATGTAGTACATATATAACATTATCAACTGATCAAAAAAATATCACGCAATTTAATAAATACAAAATAATAACAATGCTTTTCTTAATCTTTTGTTAAAGCTACTTTTACTTTTTTTGGTCTACCTTTTCCTTTTCTTTGACCAGTTATTTGTGGACTCATTTGTTTGTTAGGGAAATTTACAGTTTTTGAATCTGAATTACATGATCATAGTCAAAGACAAGAAAATAATCGTCTTAAATCACCAATTCGTACTGCTGTGCAAGAAATGACACAACCTGTTACAATTTGTTCTATTTGTTGTAAATTACAAAAACCTGATGCAATTGGTCAGGTGGTGGACAATTAATTCTTTTATTATACCATAATAGTGGACATTTTTAATTTTTGTATCAATTGTTAAATTAGGATGCAATACTGATACATAATTTGACCTTGTGTTAAACCTTTATGTGTCATTTCTTGCACAGCAGTACGAATTGGTGATTTAAGACGATTATTTTCTTGTCTTTGACTATGATCATGTAATTCAGATTCAAAAGGTGTAAATTTCCCTAACAAACAAATGAGTAAAAATTAAGTATTTTTTATTTCTCTCTCAAAAATAGTTATAACTATACACAACTTACCATCTAACTGTTTGGCTTTCAATTGATAAGGACATTGTGGATATTTTCTATACTCTGAACATTTATATGTTATAGATACACCACTTGTAAATAGTCCTTCAGTACGATTTGTACAAACATTTTTTTCTCGAACAAACACTTTTAGATCGTTTTCAGTAGTACATGTAGAACATTCATGCCATAGTCTTCGAGACATAGCTTGTAGAAAAGAATATAAACTAATTCCGGATATCTTCCCATTTTTTATTCCCAATTTATTTATATATGCGATGTGTATATAAGGTGTGTATATATGTGCGCTTCTAAGATTGATTTTAAAAGAATGCTGTTGAACTGATAATGTTATATATGTATGTTATATATGTACTACATACGATGTTTAATTTTAATCACGATTATATATATACGCGCTTCTAAGATTGATTTTAAAAAAATGCTCTTAAACTGATCATTTTTTTATATATTTAACAAATCTAAATTATCGGGCTCATTTCTCTCTTTTGTGAAGATAAATTTTTTCTTTTTTGAACCGGGCTCATTTCCATCTTTTTTTTGTTAATTAAAGCAACCGGGATCAATTCTCTCTTTTTTCCGAGCTCAAAACTTATTTTATCCATAGATTAGTAGTTTCTATGGTCGGGCTTTAGAGTCACATACCCAATATCAAAATATTAATTTCGTCCTCGAACGGCTTGGGTGGTTTTTTCATGGAGCCTCTCTTAATAGTTTTCCGACTGGCTTTCGCAGCAAATCGAGTGATTAGTGTGAGTTCAAAGTAACGAAGGAAGCATTAATATGCATGCTACATGTGACAGGGATGTTGCTCGACTGTAGTAGAACAGCAATGGCTGCGAAAACATTCTTATTTAATGATCAAAAACGTTTCTTCTTATTCCTGTAGAGGTCACTTTAATTGCAAAAATTGTGAAGTCATGCTTGATTGCCTGTCATTCGTGGCTAATATTGCTGATCGTTTCTTCTTTGTTGCGGGTTCAACAATTGACAGGAAACTGAAATGAACGAATACGTCTCATACACAATACAGCGCTGTACATACGTTTCACGAAAAGGCAAGATTGTTTCCTTCCAAGCAATCACGCGCAGTACAGTTACAATTCTACAGTCTGAGGGCATAAATCAGTCATATTTTGTATACTTTCATCTTCTTGACTTTATAGCTCTTCTAATTTCGATCCTCAACAAGAGTTTTCGATAAGAAACATGTAGAGAAAAATTATTTTACAAAACTGTTTTCAGTTTCCGAAAAGTTGGCTGTTCTATGTATCAGTGAAGGTTTTCCTGAGATCTACTTCGAGATCTTTGATTCACCTCGTGCGGACTAAATCAATTATTCCACCATTTGGCTACAATCTCAAAAACTTAATTCATTAGGCTTCGTAAGGTCCAATTCGAAAATCTTTTAAGCCATTCCACAGCCTGAACATTTTTCTACAGCCCTAAACTAATCTAACGTTTGTGCGCTTAGGCGAGCCCGAACAAAGAGCGTTTTTCTGGGGGCCTCGCAAAAGCATGTTCCTTCCATTTACCTCGGGCTCGATAAATCAAAGATCAAGAAGAAGCTAAGTAAAATTTCACGTATTTTACAGACAGAATAAACACGACGACGCTGAAGGCAGATATTATTTTCATCCCTTGTTTTAAGGTAAAATATTATGGACTCGTTATTGTCAAAGTTCTCTCACATGTGCTCGCAAACTACTCCATTTCTAGAGAAAAGTCTTTCTGAAAATTGATTTTCAAAAAACCTCCCCAGGTTTTCGCCGGTATTTCACCGCTTATCGCCCCGTTTGACTTAAAAATCCAACCGGCCGGACTGATCCGGTTACACTTTCAGACCGGTAGGACCGGACCGGTTTATCTTTTCTCAACTGGTTCCAGCTTTGAGACCAGTATTACACTGCATTTTTTTCTTCGAAATTCAAAGAGCTATGTAGTCAATGAGACCAAAGTATGCAAAATATAATTGATTTACGCTTTCCGAGTCTATATCTTCCATGTATGATGTCTGTCTGGTGGGCGCGCAGAATTTTGCTGAAAAAGAACATGAACAAAAGCCGAGTCTGCCGATCGCGATTTAAGAATTTATGAATGCCGGAGTAGAAGTTGTTCTGCATCTGGTCGCAGTCAAATAAACAAAGAATTTGTAGAAGTCCAGTATTATATTCCTCCTCACCAAAGAATATGTGCAATGCGGTAGCCTTTCTCCTAGGCACGCAGATTTCCATGTCTAGGATGCACTGAAATGTTTATCGTGCTTGGATGAACGATTAACATTTCAGTTGAATAGATTTGAGCACGTGATTTTGAAATAGATCCACAAACGTTATATCAAAAATAAAGTGACTTCTATTTTGATAATTCTTGAAAAATGTAGTATCGAAGCAGAAGTGGGAGCGCACAGGTTCGAACCTACAGGAACAGCCTTGGAGTACGGAGCAATACATTCGAGCCACGACTTGAGTCGAAGCGCAAAACTCAGGAGCAGCCGATCTCTACGATCTTCTCGATACACTAGAGCACAACTGTAAATTGATCGACTATTAGGGCAAACATTTCGTTTTTCTCACATTCATGCGCCAATAGAAACTTTTCTCTCTAAGAGCCTGTCGGTAGGAAAGCCACTAGCAATAGTTCCAAAAAGATGTTAGTGGCTAAAAGTATCAAGAAGCGACAGTAAAACGATCCGGCAATGATGCTACAAGTACTACTGCTTAAGTGCTCAGAGATGACTACACTCACCTTCGTTTGTTATTTTAGCACAACATGCGTCATCGTCAAATGAAAAACAGAAAGTGACTGTTTTTTTGCGCAGAGAGAACAGTAACC